TTATTCTACGTGCTGCGATGTGAGTATAAAAGAAAAGGAAAAAAAAAAGGACCAACGGCTCAAGGAAAAGCCAAATCACTCCAAATATTCAACAAATGCATACAAAAGAAGTAGAATTAAATCAAATAATTGTACATGTATGTTAAAAGCGTTGAAAAACCGCTTTCCCTTACAACCAAATAAAGACTGTGAATGCAGGAATAACACAGAAACGAACATGTTCGCTAAACGCTCGAAGGTTTTAAGTACTACTAATAAAAATAATTGTCGCGGCTAATCGCCGTCGCAAAGTACAGCAACGACGCAGTTCAACAAGGTCGAACCGAAAGCATACATTGGCGCCTCTGGCAGCCGCTATACGGTCCATGTGTGACCTTGGAGCACAGCTTACAGCCAGCTGCAATCAGCTGTATGCTGGTTTTTGGTTTTTTTAAGTCGTGAAACCAGAAACTAGTGCAGTTAACTCTTACAATTTTTGGGCAACTGAAGTTTCATATGAAGTTAAATATAAACCCCACTTGACATACTTCAAATGGGCACGTGTACAAAAAGAAAAAGAGTTTAAAATGGACCACTTTCGATATTGAAATTCAGCCTAAAACAATAGATCTCAGGACGAGGCTCTGGGGAATAACTACAGAGTTTGTGGGGTTTATTCCCCAGAGTCTCGTGCTGAGGTCTTTTGTGTTGGGCTGAATTTTAATATGTCGAAATCAGTCCATTATCTTAATCTTATTTCATTGGCTAAGCCTTGTTTTCAGTCGGTTGAGAGTTGGAGCCGGGACTGCCGTTGGCGAATTTTGATCTGATGGTTCTCTGCTGCTTGTCGTATTCTCACTGAACTTTTTTCTCCGTGTTTGGAGTGTGGTAAAACACAGTCTGTCGTGTTGAGATTTTACATAACACACTACCAGTTCGGGCTCCCTCCTTGTGTGTTTTTTTTTTTTTTTACTTTAAGATCGGAATTGAAGAACATAGTGACCACCAAACAGAAATTCTAAAGTTTGACCGGAGAGTGGTTT